GTGAGCCTCACACCTAACCCCCCACTTCATATACAAGCTGAGGAGCGCCCTCTCCGTCACGTCACCTTCTGTTTTCCATCCCTGTCACCGGTTGCGACGGCATCCTACGTTACGCTCAATCAGTCGATCACCAACCGAGTGGGCTGCACTGCATTGCCTGAAAACGAGGGGCTCAGTCCATTATCATTATCTGTAAGTGACCTTCCATTCGAGGGGTTTCGGAGCTTCGCAATCAAAGCAAACGGAAACCGCTCACCTTGATTCACAACGGCAAGGCTGACAAGATGCTAGTGCCACCGTGGCTCTGCCTTCAGCTTCTCGCGCTCTCCTCTATGATGACTATACAGGCCAGCAAATTCACCCCCGAGGTGCTTCTCTCGGCGCCGAGGCGGTCTTCCGCCGTGCCCAACCCGTCCGGCAACAAAGCCTTGTACACCGTGAGCACATGGCCCAGAGCTCCGACCTGCGAACCAATGCTCACTGTGTGCTCAGGTGTCGTCCTACTCTTTCCAAACCCACAGCAAGACGAGCCAGATTCGCGTCATTGATGTCCACAGCGGCCACTCGACGCTGTTGTACGAGGATGGCTCGTACAGCGAGCCGACGTGGATCAGCGACAAGGACATTCTCTTCTTCAAGAGCGGCGACAAGGGGTCCACGAGCTTGATGCTCGGACACTCCGGCCTCCCACAAGTGTAAGGAAAGGAGATGTTTGTGAGTCAAAGGCCTTTCGCTAACCTCGCATCCAGAGTCCAAGAGATTCGCAACTTTGACGGCAGCCTATCCAACCTCAAAGCCTACCGCCTGTCAGATGAAGAGGTCGCCATCGTCTGTTCCGCCCCGACGACTCTGTCCGGCGCCATGTACCACCCCTCGTCTGAGAGCAAGGCTCTGTCCTCCGCCAAGACATACTCCACCTTGTACGCCCGTCACTGGGATGCGTGGCAGACGGAGAACAGGAACTCTTTGTGGTACGGCCTGCTCAAGAAGAAGGGCGGCTCCTATGAGCTCCAGGGGCCCGGCTTGGTCAATGCTCTTGATGGCACCAAGCTCGAATGTCCCGTCCCGCCCTTCGGGGGCACGGCTGACTTTGACATTGGCCGGTCTGGTCTCATCTTCGTGTCGCGGGACCCCGACGTATCACCTGCCATCTACACCAAGACGAATCTCTACTTCATACCGCTCAAGACGTTCACCGAGGAGAAGCCTGCTCCGCCTCACGAGGGTTAAGACGGGCAACCTCCAGGGCTACGCGGCTGCGCCCGTCTTCTCTCACGACGGCAAGCAGGTTGCCTTCACCAAGATGAAGAGCAAGCAGTACGAGTCTGACAAGCCGCGTCTGCTTCTGATCCCGGATATCGCCGAACTCACCGGTGTACAGGAGTTCTACGTGACAAAGGATGAGGTTGGCGGCTGGGATGCACGCCCTGAGTGGATCACCTGGAGCAAAGACGATAAGGAGCTTTATGTCGCGGCCGAAAAGCACGGGCGCGTCAGGTTGTGGAAGCTGCCGTCTTCCCCAGAAAAGGCCGTAGAAGAGCCCGAGTCTATCTTTGAGAAGGGATCCATCATCGAAGCCAGACTCCTTCCCGGTAGTGGTAAACTCCTCGTCAGCTCCAACTCACAAATCGAGAGCTCTCTCTTCTCCGTGCTGGACCCGTCGAGCAAGAAGCTGGACTACGTGTCCTCGAGCTCCAAGCACGGCAAGACATTCGGCCTGTCGGAGAAGCAGCTGGAGAACTTCTGGTTCAAGGGCGCCGAGGGCTACGATGTGCAGGCGCTCGTTGTCAAGCCGTCCGATTTCGACGAGAAGAAGAAGTACCCTCTGGCGTTCCTCATCCACGGCGGACCGCAGGGGCGTGGAACGACAATTGGAGCACGCGTTGGAATCCGGCCATCTTCGCCGAGCAGGGCTACATTGCCGTCATGCCCAACCCCGTGGGCAGCACGGGCTACGGGCAAAACCACACTGACGCGATCCAGAGCCAGTGGGGTGGTCTGCCTTATGTAGATCTGGTCAAGTGTTTTGAGCACATTGAGAAGAACCTCGACTATGTCGATATTGACCGGGCCGTGGCACTGGGTGCTTCTTACGGCGGCTACATGATCAGTGAGTGCACACCCCCGTGCGGATGAGCGACAACCTTTGCTAATACGCGTCCAGACTGGATCCAGGGCAACGAGCTCGGACGCAAGTTCAAGGCGCTCGTGTGTCACGACGGTGTTTTTTCGACGCTCAACCAGTGGTCGACGGAGGAGCTCTTCTTCCCGTTGCACGACTTTGGGGGCCCGATCTGGGAGAACCGGGCGACATATGAGAAGTGGGACCCGGCGACGAAACTTGCCAACTGGTCGACGCCACAGCTGGTCATCCACAACGAGCTCGACTATCGGCTGCCCATCTCGGAGGGCCTCGCCATGTTCAACGTGCTGCAGGCGCGGGGGGTGCCAAGCCGGTTCCTCATGTTCCCCGACGAGAACCATGTAAGTGCATTGTTTGGCTAGGCCATGCCATGTTGTAGGATGTCGCTGACTCTGGGTAGTGGGTTCTCAAACCGGAGAACTCGTTGGTGTGGCACAAGGAGGTTCTTGGTTGGATCAACAAGTATTCTGGTGTAAGCAAGTAAAGCAGGCATGTTGAGTGCCTCCGCACTTGACCTGGGACCACAGGACTCAGGACTAAGGGACCTAGGACCTGGGCAATGAAGGTTCCTCGAGAGAGGCCACAGACAAGGGGGCTACTGTGGGTAAGGTACAACAAGAAGGTCTAGCACGGAGTACATGTTGGATTTCGCGCCGTCAATTTGTTCATTTACTTGTACGAGTTCATTTGAGATTCAGACTTGCCACTTGAACCAAGGGAACAGTGACTCAATCCAAGGTGACATATCTACTGTATATCGACTGCATGTCATGGGGTGCAGTCGACATGGCATGGGGATGGCGAGCACATCGGTACAGTGTAGATATGTGCGAATAGTACGCGAGCACGGTAGCCTCCAACATCCGTCGCTGAAGCTCGCAAAGCTGATCCTCATCTGTTGCACCTCTCCCACCAACGAGACCGGCAATAGGCGCGTGGGAAGACTTGCGCCAGCTCAAATTTGGTTCCAGAGCTCCAATCGCGCTACACGACTACAGAAACACCATGCTCTGCGCCGCAACGCGCCTTCCCAGCTGGTGACAGACCATTCAGCCAATTCTCGACCAACGAAGTCTCCCCTCTCTCTCGAACCTGGAACTCGAACCTCGACAACGAAGCTATCTAGGCCTTCCCACCGACGCCATCACACCCACGGTTTGAAACTCGCGACCGCACCCCGAATCATTGATCGAATCCCCAACGCCGCGAGCCACACGAAGAGCAGCACATCGCCACAAGACCGCCGGCCACCATGGCCCCCCCGACACCCCTCTACCACGCCCTCCTCCGTCCCTGCATCCTCCAGATCCTCCGCGCGACGGGCTACCACGCGACCCGCCCTGCCGTCCTCGACACCCTCACCGAGCTCGCCGCCCGTTACCTCCTCACGCTCTGCCGCCACACGGCCGCCCGCGCCCTCGACAACAACCCCCACCACGACCCCGCCGACGAGCACCCCCTGCGCGTCGCCGACGTCCGCATGGCCCTCGAGGACGTCGGCGCCCTAGGCGTCGTCGAGCGCTTCGTCGAGCCCGACGAGGGCGGCCGCCCCGCCACCGCGCCGTCCGGTGCCGCACCCGAGGACAAGACCTCATCCTCCACCACCACCACCACCACCTCGTCCTCGTCCTCCTCTGCTGCCGCCTACCGCGCCTGCCGCGGCGACGACGACACGCGCGGCGTCGACGAGTTCGTCGCCTGGTTCGCCGGTGCGCGGTGCCGCGCCATTCGGGACATGGTCGTCGACGGCATCGGCGAGGGCGTCGTCGGCACGGGCAATGCTGCGCAGGACGGGGACGTGCCTGCGGGGGATTACCTCCACGGTAAGCTCCTTCCTTTCTCTCCACCCCTGTCCCTTTATCTTTCGACGCTGTTTTTTTTTTTTTTTTTTTGCTTCTTCTTTTTCCCGTGTGCTCCCTCCCCACGGCGCCGGGCTTCGCAATCATGCTAACCGCCGCCCCCTTCGCGCGCAAGACTTAATGTCTCGCTCACAGCAAGTCGGCCGAGGACAGCAAAGTTCACGACACGATCCTCGGCCGCGGAAACGAGCACGCGAGCGACGTCCTCGTCGAGGGGGGCGACCTGTCGAGCATCGCCGGCTGGATGGACATGATGCGCGGGCCCTCGCCCCCCGGCTCGCCGACGCCGTCGGGAGGGTCCAGGCCGCCGAGCTCCGGGCTGAGTTCTGTCGGCGACCGGCTCGGTGACGAGGGCGACGGCATGGATCTCTCCTAGTGGGCGTGGCCGAACTAGCACCGTTCTCGTCCCAAATGAAGGCATTTGGTTGCGTTGGGGGCATGCGGCTTTCACAGTTCATCGATTAAGGGGGAGGGAGAAGCATAGCGTAGGCGTTTCGGACTTGGGAAAATCAAAAAAGAGGTTGGCAGGCGCGCGCGTCACCGTGCGGCGCGGGCATTGCAACAACCCGCGGACACACAGGCACATGGTGAGTGTAGAGGGAGCCTGGCATTACTTGAGCATCATTTAATTCAAGAGCATCAACGAGGCACCATCTGACTACTATGGTTGGAGAGTAACAAAGGTGTTTCAATCTGTGGTCCTAAATAGCCTCGTTGCGGGGACACCCGGCACCTATCGTCTCGCCTCGGCCGCGCGGTCCAGGTTGAACGCGGCGCTGATGAGCGCCAGATGGCTAAACGCCTGCGGCGTGTTGCCCAACTGCTCGCCAGAGCGGGCAATCTCCTCGGAGAACATGCTGAGGTGGTTCGAGAAGCTCAGGGCATTCTCAAACATGTTGACGGCCCGCGGCAGGTAGCGCGGCTCGTAGACGCTGGCGCGCGTCATGGCCTCGACGAGCCAAAAAGTGCACATGCTGAAGGCCCCCTCGCGGCCGCCCACGCCGTCCTCGGAGAGCTCCGTGTCGTAGCGGTAGACGAGGCCGGCGCTCGTGAGGCCGCCCTTCTCGGGGGGCATGAGGATGCGATCCATCGTGCTGAGGAAGCGCGGGTCGTTGGGGGCGATAAAAAAGACGAGCGGCGCGATGAGGATGGATGAGTCGATCATCTTATTGTTCTCGTAGCTCTGCACGAAACTCCTCATCTCCTTGTTGTAGCCTGTAGGTGCGAATCAGTTTCCTGCATGTCTCGAGTCGTCAGTCCTGTGAAGAACGCACCCTTGTCCATGATCTCCTCCATCAAATTGTCCCGTGCCGCGAGCCACTTGGCGCGGCTCGGGCAGGGCAAGTTGCGCTTCTCGGCGAGACGAATGCCGCGATCAAAGGCTACCCAAAGCATGACTTTGGAGTATACAAAATTCTGCTTCTGGTTTCGAACCTCCCAGATCGACATGTCGGGCACTAGACAAGCATTAGCAGGACGCTTTTGCGTAGGCACAGCGTCGCTACGTACAGTTGACGAGCGTAAGCACGAAATCTTGAGTAGGTTGGTTAGCTCCAATCCATAGACTAGCAGCTAGGCCACATACCAAGCATATCTCGGACGGCGCACCACTGATCCCAACTGATCGGCTTTCCGTACTTGTTGTACAGATAGATGGCATCCATCAGCTCGCCGTAGATATCAAATTGCTGGTGATCGGCGGCACCGTTGCCAATGCGCACGGGTTTGCTACCGCGGTAGCCATCGAGATGACCGAGCTCGCTCTCGGGAATGTCCGTCTCACCCCGGATGGTGAACATGATGGGTAAAGCCCCCTCAGGGCCACGGGATTTCAGAAAGCGTTCGCTGATGAAACCCATGTAAGCATCGGCTTCCTCTGAATATCCTAGGCGCAACAGAATATAGATGGTGAAACTCGAGTCTCGAACCCACGAGAAGCGGTAGTCCCAGTTTCTGCCCGATCTGTCAGTTCCGAAGACCTGTGGTGTCAAACAGGTGAGCAACGGGCATACCTGACACCGCCAATGTCCTCGGGGACAGAGAAAGTCGGAGCTGCAATGATGGCGCCCGTCGGCTCATAGGTAAGCATCTTCAGAATCATCAAGCTCCGCTGCACCACTTCGCGCCAGCGCCCCTTGTACTTGCTCCGCGAGATCCACTGGTACCAGAACGACTGGGTGTCGTGCTGCTGCTTGTCGAGCACATCCGTCGTGACATTGTCCGTTACATGGTTCGGCATGTCCTTTCGGAGCACAAAGGAGACAGCTTGGCCCTCGTGGACCTTGATGCGGGCTACGACACCCTCGCCGGGCATGCCGTCTCGCTTCACCGTGTGAAAGCATATCCCGGGAGCAGCGCCTGCTTCGACATCACCACGATCGACAATGACGTCGAGTTGCAATTTTGTGTCCTTGCTGTGGAAAGTAGCCGTCCTGCTCTCGGCTCCTGGGTTGTAGGACGTCTGGAGGAGGGTCGTCGTATGCCCCTCCTGGGCGTAGTTGAAGGCCGGAAATATTTCAACATCTGAATAGGTGCTGCATTAGCAGCCGGGAGTCACCGCCTGAGGGACGTCATACTGACCCAGCTCGAGTTCCCCTCGGATACACTCAACACGGCGGACCAGCCACTTCTTGAGCTCCTCCTGAATCTGGTACGTCTCACGGTAGGCGCTGTGGCGGACATCCTTGTATATGGCCGTGGCAGTTTTGGGACGCGGAAAAAAGTCGATGAGATCAACGACACCCTCGTCATGGATGTACCTCGTCTGAAGAATGTTCGAAGACGGTAGATACTGCTGCCTTGACACAGATGAGTTTCTGAGCTTGTTTCGAGTGTGCATGAACGGACTCACTTGGTGGTGCATTGCATCTCAGCGGGGGGGCTGATGCTGAAATGACCTCCCTTGTCCTTATCCAGGAGACGACAGAAGACGGAAGGCGAGTCAAAGTCAGGCCTACCCTTCTAGTCAATTCTGGGCCATGATCTGTAGTAGCAGCGCCGCGGCGGCACCCACCAGCACATGAAGTCCACGGAACCATTCATGCCGACGAGGGCGCAGGTGTGCATGTTCCCGATCATGCCATAGTCCTCAATGGGCAGATAACCCGTGTTGGAGCTATTCTGGGCATGTTTGGTGGAGCATTGATGAGCCATGATGATGGCAAGATAGATGCTGGCTGGTATGGATGATCTGTAGGGAGGGGCCGGATGGGGCGGAGATGGAAGTAATCGTGAAGCGACTGCTCTCAGCGCGAGGGAGTGGAATGACGATAAGAGGTGTGATGGATCAGAGTCTTGTTCAGCTCGGGCTCAAGCCAGCTGCGGAACTCAACGATGGCTTTCTGAGGACTGTCTGAAGGCTTGTCCCCGCGGTGGGCATGACTGATCTAGATCCAGTTCCAGCTCGGCTGGCACCTGTGACTTGGGGTTCACGCCGGATCTGGCAACGACACCTTCCCAGCTACACGTAGCTTTCCTCAGGACCTTGCCTTTCGTACCCTTCCCTACCTAAGGAGGTACCTTGTGTTACCTACCGACCTACATGGTACGTAACCTTTCGAACCTAAAGCTCCGTTAGTGCTGGGGTAGGTACCTTAGGTAGGTACGTAGGTATGGAATGTCCACGAGTATCCGGCAATCTACGTCAAACTTAGTCAGCAGCGTCAGTCTCTCACATGGCATTATGACCTCTTCACCGGCAGAGAGACGTCAGGAATGTCTCGAATCATCTCCTCAACCGATCGACCTCGTCCTTGGCTCCCATGTTTCAATTCATGCGGGCGCACAAAGTTTTGTGTATGTTCATTTAAATGGCCTCGATGAGCATTATGTCTGAGATGACCAATCTGCGTCGGCTTTCATGTTTGCTTTTCTCCCCAATCCTACAACATGTATTGACTGGCCGAATGCCTTGGCCTGCAGCATGGTGGTTGACCTCTAAGAGCAGCCAATCCCAAAGCAGAACTGGATTGCCTGTTCTAACAAGGCGACGTCTGCTGGTGCCGTATGAGCGTCCCGCAAGTAGGCACCCAAACCGCGAAGAAAGCAAGAGGGGCAATTTGGAAATTACCATGATGATCGATTCATAGCCCTCGGATCTGCGGACAGCATTCAAGATACCCTTTGACGCCTCCAGAATCACAGCTAAGGCGGATCAGAGAGGACTGAAAGTGTGAGGGTGGTTATAACAGCTGATTCACCCCCACTGGCGAGTTTAATTGTAATGACTCATGCCATGTTCTTTCGCGATTGTCTCTGGAAGTTATGCTGTGAGCTTTGGATTTATATTAAGATGCTGCCGAGGCGTGTATAATAGAAAGAACATAGGAAACGGAAAAGGAGTGCCACGGCAGCAATTTTTTTTTTTTTACCGTGAAGATGTCGAGTGAAATGAAATAACCGTGAAATGCTTAGATCATATCATCTATACAAAGAGGATGGAAGGGGGACTCCGTGTTCTTTCCCAGTTATACACATATAGATTGATCCGTGATGAAGGCGAGTGCGCACGAATGCTCTCTTGGATCCGGGACGGCCAGGCCGCCACAACTCTGTTAGCCTGTTGTTAGCCTAACGGGTCGACTTTCACGTGATGTACCGTGCCTGTACACTTGGGTGCACGTGCCATAGGCATAGTGAATACCTACCACAGGTATTTAGGATAACGGTTCACAGTTTTCCAAAATTGGCAACTGCATTGCCAGGAAGGGCTCGTCATTCCCAGTCACGACAATCGAGATGGATCAAGCCCAGCAGCCAGATTTCAGACGCACTCAGAAATTCTTCGTTGCGCTGTGTGCGAACACCCCATCAGTGACCGAGGGTGTGTCTGTTTCGCGACACTTGGAGACGATTTCAGTGTCGTTACGCGAGATCAGTGCCCAAGTTCAATGGGTCGATGCTCGGGTTCAACAGGTCAATGCCCGATTTTCGCAGCTCGAAATGCGTCTTGATGGACACATGAGCCAGATCAACATTCGCTTGGCTGCTGAATGAATGAGTTGCTGTGTTGATTGTTGTCGCGCCAGAACTAATGAGAGCAATGAACACTATACTGCGACGAGAACAAGGCAGCGACTGTGCTGGGCTCCGGGTTGCAGCCACTACTGGATGTACAGACGGGACGACCTATCAAAGTGTCCCCGCCGACATAGAGATGATTACGTCTAGAGATACATGTAGCTGCCGACTTTCACAATTGATGCCGTTCAGAGATGATGCTGTTTAGAAATGGTGACGATTAGACATAATGACGTTTAGACATGAGTATAATCAGACATGATCCAGTGGGCTATGTTGTGATTGGCATAGGCATGTGATACACATCCATCTCCTGACCGGGGGCAGATGCATAAGCCTGAAAGCACAGAGGCAAACGCAGTCAAGCAGTGAGACTGGCTAGGTGACTCGATCCTGAAAGCTTTTAGCACGGTCCAAGGAAAGGGAACCCTCGCATGTGGTGCAGAAGCAGTGTGTTGGCATCATGCGACACACGATGGGCCCCCCTCATCACCTGCATCTCCTCGTCCCCAGCTGTCCCTTAGTCCCAAATCTTTACAAGGGGGTGGTCCCCGAGCCTTCCCCAAGTCCCGCCTGTGGCCGACCCTAATGAGCGACCCAACTGCAAGCGAGTCCACTGGAGATGCGCCAAGACACCCCACCGATCCACGACACACACACGGCAGGGGCCAACGGATGGGAAGGACCATCCCTTCCGCAGGTCGCCCAGCCACTCCTGGCTTGCCACCCATACCTTTCTGGTCCTAACCGCCTGCCCAGGCCGAGGACGAACGTGCCTGGCTCGGGTAGCAGCTGCCCAGCAAACCGACTGACTATGCACTTGTGACCGCCAGAAGTGGCCCACTGGTGGATCCCGCCCAACCCTGCTGTGCGCAAAGTGGACCGTGTGGTGGCTGTAGCCGTGGAGCTGCCGTGGTATGGTATGGTCAATCGGCACGCTGGTGACCGTCGGTGACTGGAGACTGGAGCCCTGGGCACATCTCGTCTCCTCACTCCAAGACAGGACTGGACCAGTACTGCCACTTGGACCGGCACTGGATTGTGCATCGGGACCAGGCACGAGTTGAAAACATGACACCTCCTTCACCATCTCTTGACCGCCTTCTTGACCCTACATGTGCTTCTCCTCCCTCCTCCGCGCGGCCACGACTATCCCTAGATACCCCATCTTCCCACAACGAGGACCAACCCACTCGCGCATCCTCTGCCTCTCCTCTCGACGGCGTCTACGATCTCGAATCGCTTCCCGAACCCCTGTCTGCTCCATCCACCCACGCGACCACCTCGAATGCCCTCACACACTCGATAGCGTCCTCCTCGTCTTCCTCTCCTTTTGCCGCCACTGGCCCCTCGTCCGGGCCCATCATTGAGATGGAACCAATGACCGGTGCCGGCCATCGCCGGCGCCGCAGCAGTCTCATGCAGAGCGTCGGCGCAAGCACACCTGACAGAGCAGCCCGCCCTCGCGCACAGTCGCTTCGAACACCCGGCACCCGAGCACCAGGCGGCCTTGCTGAGGAGCCGAAGATCTCGGAGGAAGCTCCAGACGCTTTCTCATCAGCCTCTGCAGATCCCGCGGACGACAGCTTCTCGGACGAGGACCTACATGATGACGAGGAGACGGGGCTCACAAAGAAGGACAGGAGGCGGAAGCGGCAAAAGAAGAGACGCAACACGCTCCTCGACCAGAGGATAGCAAGAGGAGGTGATATCACGGCGGAGGAGAAGAAGGAGGCCGATCACAACGTCGTCAGGAACCTGGCCATCAACGCTTCGTTGATCCTGTTGTGGTACATTTTCTCACTGAGCATCTCTTTGGTACGTCGCGACATCCCCATCAGCCGATTTTCTCCGTGCCCTCCGAAGCTGACGCTCCGTTCCCGTTGTCCTACAGTACAACAAGTGGATGTTCGACAAGGATCGTCTCAATTTCGCATTCCCCCTATTCACGACAAGCTGTCACATGCTTGTCCAGTTTGCCCTGTCCGGCCTGGTTCTCTACTTCATCCCGTCGTTACGACCTCAAAATGCCCAACATAACTCGGATGCCGGTCGGTCACGACACGAGACGGAACCCGATCGGCCCTTGATGTCGAAATTATTCTACCTCACGCGTATCGGGCCTTGCGGCGCGGCAACAGGGCTCGACATCGGCTTGGGCAACACGTCCCTGAAGTTTATCACCTTGACCTTCTACAGTACGTCATCGCAGACTCTGGCGCCGTCCGTCGTTGCTGCCCTTGCTAACGTTATGAAGCCATGTGCAAGTCTTCGTCTTTAGCATTCGTTCTGATTTTCGCCTTCGTCTTCCGACTCGAAAAACCAACCTGGAGACTTGTTGCCATCATAGCCACCATGACTGCCGGCGTCGTTCTCATGGTATCAGGCGAGGTCGAGTTCAAGCTTGGTGGCTTCGTCCTCGTCATTTCCGCCGCCTTCTTCTCTGGTTTCCGCTGGGCCCTCACTCAGATTCTTCTACTGCGCAACCCTGCCACATCCAACCCCTTTTCTAGCATTTTTTTCTTAGCGCCCGTCATGTTTGTGGTTTTGATGGCAATCGCCATCCCCGTCGAAGGATTCCCTGCTCTCTTCGAAGGACTCAAAGCACTCGTCAAGGAGTGGGGCATCATCATGACCCCCTTTTTCCTGCTGTTCCCCGGCTGTATCGCCTTTCTCATGACGGCTTCCGAGTTCGCTCTGCTGCAGCGAACCTCAGTGGTCACGTTGTCGATTGCTGGAATTTTCAAAGAGGTCGTCACCATTTCAGCCGCCGCCCTCGTGTTCGAAGACCATCTCACTCCCGTCAACGCCGTTGGGCTAGTCACCACCATGCTTGCCATTGTCGCCTACAACTGGATGAAGATTCGCCAGATGCGACAGGAGGCTCAAGAGGATGTCCATCGTGGACACGCGGAGCCCGACAGCGCTTCTAACGACAGCGGGAGTGACACCGAAGACGTCGTGGGCGAGCAAGCTGGTCTGCTAGCACGGTCGAGTGCCGATATTGACGATAACCTCGTTACTCTCGATGGCGACATTATTCCCAATCCTGCCCAGGACGCACATTTTGAGGCTCAGGAGTCTCGGACGGCACAAGCTCATCGGGACAATTAAGCAGCCCAGTCATCATGACTGGTCGTTCGCAGAGAGAAATCTTTTGTAGGTATTTTGGCATTTTTTTCGGAAGGGGTCAGCATGCGACGCCTGAGAATGGCGAGCGCTGAAGCAGAAGATGAGAAGAAGACGGCGTACATGAGCCTTGTGAGCCTTTTGGATCTAGACAGAAGGGCCAGAGGCACGCCGTATGGTGCGTGGAGGAGCAGATCACATGCGTGCCCGCAAGAGGCGATTGTGCTGCTAAATCTGATCTGATGATACCCCGAATACAACTCCGGACGAGGATTGACACATCAATGCTTGCTCCCTGATTGAGTATTAAAACACTTTATTAAATCCGAAAGCCCCATGCGCCTTATCCATGCAGCGTGCTTTGTATAGAAACTGTTGCAACGCAAAACTGTCGCCCAAACCACGCAACCATTCACGCCGTTGCGCGTTTGTTCTTCCCAAGTGGGCATTGTTCCCCTAACCCAGCAGGCGGAGACCATTCTTCGTCTTCTGTCCCGGCTTCGATACGCCCCCGTGGTGCACCGGTCCCAAGGTAGCATCGGCACCGCCCTCCTGCCTGCCGCCCACGCCGT